TCGGAGTCAGCAGTGTGGGACTTTTAGGCTTTAACAGGCTATAAAAAAGGGAAAGACATCTTAGTTACAATGAACCTTCATTACTTATAATAACGGGCTAAGAATGTTTACGTGACTTTGTGTGTGTGTGTGTGTGTGTGTGTGTGTGTGTGTGTGTGTGTGTGTGTGTGTGTGTGTGTGTGTGTGTGTGTGTGTGTGTGTGTGTGTGTGTGTGTGTGTGTGTGTGTGTGTGTGTGTGTGTGTGTGTGTGTGTGTGTGTGTGTGTGTGTGTGTGTGTGTGTGTGTGTGTGTGTGTGTGTGTGTGTGTGTGTGTGTGTGTGTGTGTGTGTGTGTGTGTGTGTGTGTGTGTGTGTGTGTGTGTGTGTGTGTGTGTGTGTGTGTGTGTGTGTGTGTGTGTGTGTGTGTGTGTGTGTGTGTGTGTGTGTGTGTGTGTGTGTGTGTGTGTGTGTGTGTGTGTGTGTGTGTGTGTGTGTGTGTGTGTGTGTGTGTGTGTGTGTGTGTGTGTGTGTGTGTGTGTGTGTGTGTGTGTGTGTGTGTGTGTGTGTGTGTGTGTGTGTGTGTGTGTGTGTGTGTGTGTGTGTGTGTGTGTGTGTGTGTGTGTGTGTGTGTGTGTTACGAAATTCGTAGAGCGTGTTCCAGCCAACCTCCTGGGGTCAAATTTTGCACAATGCATGCTACCCGCATGAAAGTTCAACATGCAAAAGTACGAGCAGATTCGTTAAGTGGACCCTCAGAAACTGCGCGTCAAACGGATCCACTTTGCATTTGGGCCGCAAAATTGGATCCGTAATTCCACTTTTTGTAGAGTCGTGAATGTTTATGCCAAGTAAATGTGCAAGCCGTTAACTTAGGCTCAAAAAAGTGATCAAATGTCCATTACTTTACAAAAACGGCGCCAAAAAGTATTGGTTGCTTAAATGGTCAATTTGCCAAGGTTTTACCAGAGCTTTTGACGAGATTTTTGCACAAAGATGTAGCTCACGGTGACTGCTGTTCTTATTGCAACTGTCAAGACCACGGGAAAATCAAAAACCTATAAAAATTTGCGTTTGTTTTCCTGCAAAAAGTCTCATCCACGCTTCGTCGCCGATTTCACTCAAAAAAGGTTTCGGAATGAGTAGTTGTTTACACTTTTTTCGTGATAGTCGGCATTGCTCGGTGAGTTCCAATGCCATCACTGTGCGAGAATGAGTAGGGCCTAGATAGTGGAGCCAGTGCGAGTGACGCACTGGTTTGAATAAAAATGGGTGCGATTGTGACAATGAGGCAAATGTCTTCAAATTTTTGTGTGGTCGCGAGTGACAGTGACAAAACGATTTGAGTTCCCTGATAATCCGCGTTTCTTATTAAAGACTAGCTGGCTTACCCGGCTCCGCCGTATGTTCCGAATAGAAAATTCCATTTCTGAACCGATCGGGACCAAACTTGGCACACATACACTTCGGGCCCCGGCGGGTGTCATAGGCTACTTTTCGTACCGATCGATATCGATTTTATCGATTTTTTGCAAAATTTGAGCTACGGGGCTGGGATTTGGCACAGGGGGGGGGGTAATCGAGCATGCTGATCACCCCCGTGGGGGTGATCAGCATGCTCGATTACACCCCTCTGCCAAATTCCAGCCCCCTAGCTCAAATTTTGCAAAAAATCGATAAAATCGATAAAAGTAATGCACGGTTTCGAAAACTAATATTGTATTCGTAATCAGCATGCTCGATTACCCCCCTGTGCCAACTCCCAGCCCCGTAGCTCAAATTTTGCAAAAAATCGATAAAATGATATCGATCGAAGACGAAAAGTAGCCTATGACACCCGCCGGGGCCCGAAGTGTATGTGCGCCAAGTTTGGTCCCGACCGGTTCAGAAATGGAATTTTCTATTCGGAACATACGTACATACAGACAGACATACAGACATACAAACAGACATTCAGCTTTATATATAAGATGGGCCCCACTTTTTCGCCATCACGTCCACCTCTATATCGGTTCTGCGTTGCCTCGTTCAACACCTTTGCTCTACAGAGAACTTCAAGACAAACTCCGTAGAAAGCAACTCTGAAGCATGCACAAAGATAGTGACACATCACTGCCAACAGCTTTCCCACGAAGGTTCTTCAAACAACAAGATGCAAATTCTAGCGCTGACGCAAACTTTTCCCTTTTGGTCAACGATGTTTTTAGAACTTTAACAAGGGTCGAAAAGCAAAATTCTTCAAATCTTCGTAGAAAACAGTAAGAGGGCACAAAACAGATTCAGAGAATGATGGATGCTGCTGAGACACTTTTGTCACAGTTGATTAAGGCGGCGAATTGTAGTGATTTCTATCATAAAGAAATCGCAATAGTACAGATTGTCTACGAAAAATGTTTCGGAAACAATATCGCAAACTGAACAGAGAATGGACAACGACAGCAGAGGCGGCAAATCTATCGTCTAAATCGCTAGCTGCCCTAGAAATTACCTGCGAATCAGCTATCAAGACGCATAAATCCAATCCGCACAAGATTTCGCATCTGATGACTTTTGAATTCTTTGAATACTTTGATGACCTTTGACCGCAGCTTTCAAGGTCAGACCAATATTAGCTGCCTGGGCGGACCATGAATTAAGATCGGATAGAATTTCAGATAGACCTAAACCGTCTACGTGATAAACGTATCAATGCTGATTATACCATTAAGTCACTCTACGCGAATACCGCACCGTTTGTGAACTTGTGACAGAGCATGAACAGGCCTTAAAACTTTTCGGACTATATATCGCACAAACGATAGCTTTCCTGGAAGCATGTCTAGAGCGCAATAATTTTATGGCCAAAATTGAGACAATCCTGTTGCAGGGAATTATCTGCAGCGGTACAGATGATCTTCCGCATACCCTTCATCTCCGATGAAGTGAACCCTGCCAGGCGGTGTCCGAGTGTCTGCTGTAGCACGATTCGGCTTAGAACAACTGCGGTGTACATACGATCCCGAAAAGGATACGTTCATAATTGTTCGGAGTATGCCTATTACCGAAACTGAATTGTCTGGCTCTGCTCTCCTCTCCGGCGCCATACTGGAAACGTTACTTCCGCATCAGTATGAACGCAGCCTAACATGTCAGCGACATGCAACAGCCTGTTGGCAACATGCAGCAATATGTGATCAAAAAATAGTGGCTGTTAGCCTATGCACTAGCATGCTCTACTAACATATAGCCGTGCGTGCCGCAGATCAAAGACGCAGAGCAGGGAAGGTATAGACAATTCGTAGCACGCAGACTGCGTACGTATCGGCGCGATAATCTCTCTAAGGCCTAGGGCATAGTGTCCACGATACCGTCGCGCTGCGATTTCTGTAAAGCGACTATTGTTACGCACTCATTGCAAGCCCATGTGCTCGCCACGGCGGTTGCAGCAGACATTCGCCGCGAAGGGTCGCAAACCATTTTTGGTTAGGGCATAGTTCTCCGGCGATAATCGCCACGTGGCAGAACTCAGCGATGTAGCGTCGCGCGTGTTGCACCGGCGACCGGGCGATATCGCTGAGGTGATTTTGAGAGACTTCCGTAGACATGCATTGATGTTTGACTCGTTTTTTGTTTGAAGGAAAAGAAAATCTTCCTGTAAGAAGTTGTGTAATTGTTGGGTGTCCCGTTTACTATATAGATCTAAACTGATTTGTTTTTTGGTGCTTTTTTTGTGAGTGATTGCTTTTTGCAAACTAAACTTGTAATTTGTCATTTCATCTCGCATGGATAATCTCACGTTTTGCAATTCGTATTGCAGGAGAATTTCCGTTTTTGATACTGGTGCATCAGCACAAAACAGTTATGTTTGTCTGTGTAAACCACCGACAACTTTCCGAAAAACAGACCCGTCAAGTTGACAGTTATGTTTGTGTTTGTTTGTTTCTTTGTTTTTTTTTCCACAGTCTTCTAGTGCTCTGCTCAAATTTTTTTCCAAAAAACTCCATGTCAATTTTTGCTACGCGCTAAAAATGCCCACGTCATCTTTCCAATTGGTTCCTTCTGATTGTTTCTTTCAAAAATTTAACGAAGAGTATCCTATTTATAGCTGTTAGCTCAAAGGGCAACATTCGTAGGCGAGAATTTGCCAAAAATTGGTAAGTTTCTGAGGAATGGACTTTATGAAAGACAGACAAATTAACACTTTTGTACTCGAGTGTCATCACGATTGGCATGAGCAATGGTGGATGCTGAGAATGAGTAAGCGGATTATTCCATGAACAAATTCCAGTTTGAAAGACATGGGATCGCGAGCACTATGCCCATGTCCTTCCGAAAAGCGATTTCATCGCTCAAACCATCAAATCCGCGGCGAAATCGCGGCGACGAAATCGTGGACACTATGCCCGTTGCCTAATCGAGTGCTCTTTCGTTCCTCATACCATCTGCTACCTCTCCTATGCGCAAACTATATTGATCAGACGCAACGGCGCCCAGTCTTTGCGTGTCATGAATTGTGTATATGTAACAGCAGTTATGAGGTGGAGATTTCTGCTGTGATACATATTCGCGGAAACGAATGCCATGCTTGTGAGTGCCGATAGCTTGCGCAATCGGCGCATGTAAAATACTCATGGAGCGCACGTTGTCATGCATACACAGATGTTGTCTGGAGCGCAATGACACTATAGCGACGGTCGAATTCCCAGCCTGCGTGTACCGTCTGTTTTAATCGAAATCAGGCCGAACTGTTGACGTCAATGTGCGCACTCGCAGCGCTAGGCGCTTCTGCTGCGTTGCGCACCGTTGGAGAAAACGAAAAAAAGAGAGAGCAGACGAGCATGTCGTAGGCGTGACGCAAAACCCGAGCGACGCGGACTCTCCCCATGCCAGTCTTGGCCTGATTAGGTTTGAGGTAGACTATGAATGGATGGCCCGCAAACCGGCATACATATCCTGTGCTGCTTTTTTCGATAATTATTCAAGGTGACTGCAGGTGATGAGCAAGAGTGTCCCGAAGGATCTGAAGGAGTACCATTCTGTACAAGCATGCATATCAATCAAGAGACAGAGGAAAAGCTATCCATAAGAGGCTGTGCTCCGCCATTTCATTGCACGGTAAGGTCAAGTAATGTCTCCGTGTGGCTCCTACTTTTACACAGTATGTTTTTATCATTCATAAACTAGTAAAATCAAGGGTAAACATGGTCCCACCGTTAGCAAAAGCATTGGCGGAAGCAAATTTTTTGTGCTTACCAGTGCTAACCTTAATTGCGATTGCGCCTAGTGAACATAGAGCGCGTATTGCCATTATTTACTCGCAAATGTTGTCAGGAAGCTATAGTTAAATCCATATGAGTGCACCTCGCCATAGCGAACACAGCTATCTTGGCATCTCCAAACCCAAAAAAATCAATAGATTGGATCCATTCAGTCTTGATGAGTTAGATTCTCAATTGTGAGAACCGTTTCACATTTTTTCATAACAACTTTTCGACCGAGATGGGCTCACTTTTCGAAAATTTATCCCATTTGAGTCATATGTTAGCATAATACAGTGCTGGACATAATTATACATTCTAGAAAAGGTAATTTGCGTTCATGTTCTGTCTGAAACTTTGCTGCATGGTATCCTTTGGACCGAATCGAATAAATATTCGAGTATTCGAATAAATTTCATTCAAAATTTGATTATTCGAAAATTTCAAAATCTCGGATATATTCGATATTCGTTTATTCGAAATTTGTCCATTTCAAATTTATTCGATTATTCATTTATTCGAAAAAATTGATTTTCGAAAATATTCGAACATTCGAATATTTATTTGCAGAAGTTATTCGATTATTCGGCAATTTCGAATAATCGAATAACTATTAGGTTGTCCCATAAGTCGCTTCTTCTGAACGATTGTGAGAGTAGAGAAACTGAGGCTTTAACATGAATGATTGTCGCGGCCACTCCATGCGTAAAAAACTTTTCTAAAGAAAGCAACTGTGAAACTCTATTCTCATGCTTGAAGAGTGAGGCCAGTGCCGTCAGATATCATCTTAATTAGTACCTCCCAGGCTTTATTTTTGAAGAGTCAATAAAAAAATCAAAATTATCCGAGATCGCAGCCGTGGAGGAAATGTCGAAAAAATGGAATATTTTGAGTCCGCAAATTTTTCTTTCGCAGAAAATTTCTAGAAAATCTTCTGCATAGCTAAAGTGCGGTTCATAATTATACGAACACCCAAAATTTTGTAAGTTTTCGGAATTTCTGGGAGAAACTCAAAAAGCCGTTGGAACCACGCGATAGAACACAGTCGAAAACGGTATATGATCTATAAGAATGGAAATCGATGTCAATCTTAGGAGTGTTTTTGCGCCTAATGCAAATTTTTAGCGGTTCATAATTATACGAACACTTCAAACAAAGGTCCATTTTTCATTCGATATTTCAATCATTTGAGTTCAAATTTTTTGTAGAGTTACAGTAACAAAGTCTGACATATCTGCTACACACTGAACTCAGTGCAGTTCAAAAAGAGGACCGTTATTTTTTTCAGAAGGCTCTAAATGCTTTTGGAGTGATTGCGCTCCAAAAGCATTTAGAGCCTTCTGAAAAAAATAACGGTTCTTTTTTCGAACTGCACTGAGTTCAGTGTGTAGCAGATATGTCAGACTTTGTTACTGTAACTCTACAAAAAATTTGAACTCAAGTGATTGCAATCTTGAATGAAAAATGGACCTTTGTTTGAGGTGTTCGTATAATTATGAACCGCTGAAAATTCGCATTAGGCGCAAAAACACTCCTAAGATTGACATCGATTTCCATTCTTATGGATCATATACCGTTTTCGGCTGTGTTCTATCGCGTGGCACCAACGGCTTTTTGAGTTTCTCCCAGAAAGTCCGAAAACTTACAAAATTTTGGGTGTTCGTATAATTATGAACCGCACTTTATGTATGTAGTACCGGTTCGTGGCTATAAGCTATAGAAGTTTCTGGCTGAACACTCATATTCGGTAGGAGTTCACATTTCAATTATGACCTTGTCAAAAAACTTCTTTTTACTTTCTGGCTTTCAGTAATTTGCTTGTCGGAGGTACAGTTACAAAAGAAAGTGGCGCAAATAGAAGAAGACTTGCTGATTACAGTAGTTTTTACATTATTTCAAAATATTCAATTTCAAAGGAGTTATGACGCTTTGAAGTAAGAATGTGCAAAACCTGCATTAAATTCCGGACAACCTAATACTACCGTAGATTTTTGGCTCTCTATATGCTCTGGTTCACGAGAAATATCAAATATAGCTCTCTTCTCTCGAGTATTTCACGTTCAAATCAATATTGCTCAGAAACCAGAGTTATAGAAAGTTAAAAATTTACAGTTATACTTCTAAGGGTTTGTAGTATACAACTGTTAGTGTAAGAACAGCACAGCATCACTCTGGTAAAAACGTGGAAATTATCAGTTTCATGATTTCTAGCTGATAAAAAAATACAGCAACAGCATATATGAACGTCTGATGTGGAATGTATATGTGTGAGTGAGTTAGAGATTTGTAGGATTTTTTTTTTGAACTAAGACAAAATTTTTTCGGTTTTCTGGCCATCCGGAACTTTTTAGATTTTGGTTTAAAACTCGGGATGGACCAAGCTTGTGCAAAAGCATAAAGGCCATCTTATAGAGCTTGCTTTGCTTTATCGAATGGTATCCTAATGTCTATTTAGAATAAGAAGTGTGTGACTTATTATAGCGAAAACTCAAAAATGAAAAGACTTATGGGACAACCTAGTACATGACAGCGTCACATTTTTACTGCTATATCAGCAACCATCGTTTATTGTACAAGTTGCTCACTGCATGGAGTCCTTCAGTGTGCTAATTCGATAAAATTTGTTTGAATATTCGACACAATCGATGCAAAATATTCGTTTATTCGGATTTTTTCTCAAATCTATTCGAGTACTCGGATTTTTTTCAATTTTAATATATTCGATATTCGATTATCCGACAATTTTCTTACATCGAAAACATTCGATATTCAATTATGCGACATTTTTGTTTCTCGAAAATATTTGATATTCGAATATTCGACATTTTTTGTTTTTGAAAATATTCGACATTCGATTCAATATTTTTGATTTTCGAATATAATCGGTCATTCGATTATTCGAAAAAATTCTCGAATATTCCAAAGTATATCGCATGGTGAGCATGTTAGCCTGCTATGACGCTCAAAACGGCTTGTTGAGCTCGAACGGAGAAAAATGGAAAAATCCGAGACAGCCCCTAAAAGCTGGACAAAACATTAGAACCACGTGGTTTTTCAAAACACTAAGAGGTCGCCTGTCCCTAGAACTTTTTTTACAGTTACGTACTAGAATATGAAACATTTGCAACATCTGCGACTTGTCATTTTCAAACAGAAATGATCATTGCATTTTTTGCTTTTAAAAGCATCAAAAGTGAATGTGGTTTAACATACAGCTGGCTTGAGGAATTTTCCAGCTCTTGTTCATCTCAGATGATCGCTGGTATGGACGGACAGACTCCAACCTTAATATAGGTCTGTCGCGCTTTTGAACCACAAAACTACATTTTCATAATGTAGCCATTACGTCGACTGTATAAGGCTTAAGGCATTCTTCCTGCGATTTCGTTAAATCGTCACATCCACGCGACTTGACGTTCTGCCAGATGCCTACAGATTAACCGTGCGCGAATGCCAAACGTATGGGTGCGTAGTTTAAGTTCCCGCAAAAGTAAAGTATCTCACAGGGGGAGGATCCTCAGTCGAAATGGGATTTCCATATGGTGCATATCTTGCTGGTCTTGGGACGCTGATACTAAATCCGTATTCCTTTGCTGCTCAATGATCATCTGGAAAATGTTATGAGCGATAGTTCCCCAAGATAACCACTCACTATAAGTCTGGGACGCCAGGAAATTCACAGTTGTGGACGGATGGCCGCGTAAAGTTGCGGAGACTATAAAGCAGGTGGTGAAGATTCGCGCTCCCGTATGGAGCCAAAACTCATGCATTTTTGCAGAATGTTTTCTATGGATTCAGCGAAATTTCAACTCTTCAGCGAATTCATAAAAAACAGTTTGTAAAAGTGCATGAATTTTGGCTACATAGGGGAGCGCGAACTCTTCACCACCTGCTCTATAGTCTTCGCAGCTATACCCAGCCACCTGTCCACACCTGTGAATTCCTTGGCGAACCAGACTCATAGTGTGAGGTGGTTATCCTGGGAAACCATCGCTCATAACTTTTCCCAGAAGATCATTAAGCAGCTAAGGAACACGTATTGAATATCAAGACCAGCAAAATGATATGCACCACGGAAACTCCACTTCGACTGAGGGTCCTTCCCTTGTCAGATTTAAATCGCGACTGCATCACTAGCGAAAATCTGGAGGTTGTTGCGAAAGCTGCATCACCATGTAGGCTAAATTAAGTCCAGCACTTCATGAACATGCCAAGTTTTGTGTTTTCAAAAGCGTGACAAACCTATGTTGAGGTTTGAGTCTGTCCGCTCATATCAGCGATTTTGCAGTACGAAAGTTCTCTTCACCTTATTGATCGAAAAGGCTCAGTGAATTTCATGACCAACTTTCGAAATGAACGAGAGCTTGGAAACTCCTCAAACCAGCTGATGCTTTGAAAGCAAAAAATGCAGTGATAATTTTTCCTTGGGACAGATCGCAAATGTTGTAAATGTCTCATAATTCAGTATTTAACTATACAAAAATTATAAAGTTAAGGGATGCGATAGTGTTTGAAAAAAACCATGTGGCTCATTAATTTTGTCCAGCTTTCAGTAGGGGCTTTTTCGGATTTTTCTTTTTTTTACGTTCTCAATTGGAATGGAAACCGTTTTGAGGGTTATGGTAGGCTAACATGCGCACTATATAGCAAAGTTTCGGGCAATTTCATCAACAGAACGCAAAATAAGCTATTTTCGAAGTATCTTAATAATAATGTCCAGCACTGTATATGCACAATACAGGTTCGTTTAACGACGGCGAGCCGTATGGTGCTACCGCAAGGACAAACACGCGAGCTAGTATTTTGCTCAAAATCATTGACTTAAGGTTTTTATGATTTTCATGTCTTTTTCCCATTCTTTTATGGATTTTTAGGAGCTATGACTTTTTTGTAGGCCTAGTATAGCTGGGAAGGTAGCCCTAGCGCAGTGGTGTGATTGAATTGCGCAAGACTACCGCCCTTAAAAGCACTGTATATGCGCCGGTAGGAGGGGCTAGAACACAATGAGAAACCATTAGAAATAGCTTTCAATTTCATCGTCAAGTACCGCGCGTGGTGGGCAATACGCATGTTGCGTTACGAATGACTCGAAAACAGCCAGTTTGAGGTTTCATAACTGAAAAAATACTCTCGCTAACTCAAAAATCTCTAGAAGTTCTAGTACTCTTTCTTTGCCGTACAAGTTTACCATGGTAATACTTTTATTGCCTTACGTTTCGGCCGCGCGCCGTCGTCAGAGGCCTGAAATTCAGTCACAATGGTGTTCGCCTTTGGCTGCCAGACACCTCTTACTCGTGTATTCGTTGATTCAGAGTTGTGAGAGCAGGTTTGACGGAAGACTCGTACTCACAAATGCATTTCCGATTTTGCAGTGTGCAACTGCTTAAAACGAGCGTAACGTAAAACAGAGCAAATATGGAAGCATGGAAAATAGAGCACGGCGGTACTGACGATGATATAAGGTGCATAACATTGTCTATGAAGGAATGCGCGGAAAACCCTGGGAGACATTTTTCTTGCGATATCAAAATAAACAGCAAGAATAAACAGTAATCTGTGACCGCTATATCTCGTCGTATCTTCTGTTTTGCGAGCTTAGATTGTCTATGCGTATACATAAATTTCCTTGTTTGACAACTTTCTAAAGCAATGGTTTTTGAGAGCCAAAATTAGCGATTTCGGCACCTGCACCTTTCGATCCAAAAAGAAAATCAGAATTGGGAATTTTTCATTTGTAAATGTTAAGCGCTGAAAAACAGTGTTCACTTCTACCTTGTGTAAAGATGTTCTGCGTTTGTTACAATCTAGACATTCCCTACCCCAAAAATTTAAGAAAGCGTAAAATGTTAACCTATAGCTTGTACTGACCACTTAGGCTCCCTCCAGGGTGTGGAAGTCACGCCAGCGCTGCGCCGACGCCGAGCCAGCGCCAAGCTAGCAGCGAGCTTCCTGCGCTGTTTCTTTCGATACATGTGCAATTCGTTCGGAGCTGGGCTAGGTGACCTGTGCCGGCAAAGCGCTACCGGAGCTTTTGACAGAGACTTCGATCAATATTGGTGCATTTACTTGGCTGAGAACAAGGTCTGCTAGCTCCGCCCCGAGCGAAATGCACATGTATCGATCGAAACAGCGCCGAGACAGCTCGCCGCTAGCTTGGCGCTGGCGCGGCTTCGGTACTCTGGCTGGAGCCTTAGAAGAACCCATCCATTCGCCACTGCTCGATAGGAGGATCGACACATTCTATCGCTACACAGCTCACAAAGCTCAAGCACCTGCACACAAAGACAACAACTAGCGACTTCGTTTACACGGTTCTTAGCATATCGGCGTGATGCAAATTTGTCAGTATATCAATCTTGCTTGCTACTAACCTTCCGCCTATGTATGAAGTTAACATTTTGCGGGATACGAATCAAATACGGAAAATGCAGTTGCCGAAGTCGCCAACTTTTCCCTTTCAGAAAACTTTGCTCTGAGAAATTGTGGAACAAGGGGATCCAGGTTTGTTCTGAAAAGAAACAGGAGTTCTTGTAGAGCAAGGTTAGCTCTTTCAAAGGGACAGCTACTCTGGCATAACCAACTGCTCCAACAAAAAGGGCTAGATAAAGACTGTAGACTTATGAAACGACCTAATAGTTTGGTGCCATGCACGCTGCTCATTCATTTGTCACTGCACTCACACAAGCTCACCTGAAGCGATTGCGCATTGCAATATCGGTGGTGCACTATGCGTAAGGGTCATCCGTCAGACCGCTTTCTCTACATCGAATACAGTATACGAGTGAGAAGAATTTGGCGGTGAGCGGATATCACTGTGGCTGACTCCTTGCCGCTGCCCTGGTCTTTCAGACGGCGTGTGGCCGCGTAAGGCAATAAATTATTACCATGAGGAATCTGTACGACAAAAAAGGATATTGAAATCGTCAAACATGCGTAGGTTTCAAGAAAGAAGGACCTACAAGGTACTCTAAAAATTTTCTGGCATGTAAATTAGTTTGAAAACTTCCCACGCTTCAGACTTATTTGAGAGATCAAGATTTTTCACTGAGTAATGACACATGGGATACAATCCGTACCATTCTTAATCTCCCCTTTCGTGGCTACCGTTTCGCCATAGCTTGGCGCCGCATTCGAAGGCATGTGGCATGAGGTTAAAAGCGTTGTCAATCAAAGGTTGGCTTGCAAGGAGAAAAAGAATACTCAGTTGACACAGAATGACATATTCATGAAAATCTGCTAGATTTACCTTTGAAGTGCACATTTCGATGCCATCCTCTAGCAGAACAGCTCAATCAGTGAAACGTATAAGGCATTTGTGTCATGTGCATGGGTGACTGAATATCGAAATGCACGATTTCAATTTCAGTTCTGTTTTTAGGAAAGTACTTGTAGTGAATCTACAAATCCGGATTCTGCATATACTGTCAACTACTGCTGCTGTGACTCGGATCTATGCAACTATGCATTACAAGCTAATGTACTTTTCATCACAATCGTTTTTGCTGCTTTGCTAGGTCTATAAGAAATCTCTCATGTAGTCGCATACTTCGAAAGCGATATCAATTTTTTAAAATAAATTTTTGCGAGGGTGTTCTCGTGCGAGATGTTCTACTACATATCGGAGTTGTCTTATGCAAATTATATATGACTGCATTTAGTAAAGCTGTAAATGTAGTGCTTGCCGTTGAATCATGCGCTTACGATGTATAGCTTTACAGTCGACGCTAAATGGAGTGTTTTTGCGACACAACAATTGCCAATGAACAACAATTCAGTGATTTCTCAAAAGATTTTGATGATGTAAATATTGCACAAAATCGATCTCTTACTTCTTAATGAATGTAGATTTTTCAAAATTATGTTTGATGTTCTATCTGCGCCGCAACCCGTCTTTTCCACCCAACTACAATACAGTCAGATCATCTGATATGGTATGTGTCTTCGCACACAATACCCGTCTCTGCCGTCTTTTTCCTAAACTTTTGAAGCAGACACTGTTGCAGGTGATATGATGTTTTCCTTATGCTTCTATTCCGTTAAGTAAAAATCCCTCATAGTAATGTAAGTGAGATCGATGTCGCTATAATGCGTTTTACGATTAGAAATCCGAGCCGAGACGGCAAAATGCCATTGCGATGTGAGTTGTGACTCGCTTTGAGCGGTTACAACCGCGCCTTCTTTACGTTGTGACGACTTTGGGCGGATTACTACGGGCCACAATGTCAGACAAATGATCATATGAAATATAACAACGCGCTCAGGCCGTTTCTTTTTTTTGTCTGTGTCTGTGTTATAACCAGGGTTGAGCGTAGGGTCAGGCGCGCCCGACCTGGGGGATCGTAATGAGGGTAAGACTGAGGGGGGGGGGGGGTCGTAATTAAGAATCGAATTTGTTAAGTTGGGGAGATACTGCGAAGGTGAAGAAGAAATGAGCTAGTCCGGTGGATATCGCGATCACATGAAGGAATGGTCATAAACAGCATACTGATTGTTTTCACAATGGAAGTTTCAGCCTAAATTCAAATCTTGATCTGTTCTACCTCGATATATGAGATCCACAAGGAAGCTTGCTGTGTGAAATGGGTATCATTTCCATAATCAGCATGTCAAATTACCTCTATGCGCTCTACAAACCATTACCTACTGCAGTTTCTAGTGTTTCTCAACGTCTAGAAAGCGTGATTTTCAAACGTGATCAACTTGGTTTCAGAAGTGAGAAAAGTCAGCTTTTGTATACTCATAACAATGTAATGTTTCTCTACAAGTCTATGCTACCAATCGGACTTTATATCGCTTCCAAACAGTGAAGTAAGAAGTGCTGCCAAAATTCCAACCGGCGCGTTTTTCACGTTAACTGCTTCAACTTCTCGGATTAGCACAAGTCCGAAACAAGTCAAATCAAGCTCAAACACTTACTGTGTAATCTTCGAGGATTGAGCTAGCGAATCACATAAATCATGGATAGAAAAGCTTTTTCGGAAATAAAGTTAATGGGGTCAGGCGCAACCCCTCAAAAGGTCAGGTCGCCTGAGCTTTTGAGGGGTTGCGCCTGACTCTCTTAACTTGCCTTCAAAATTCAAAAATCGCCCCTTTTTTAATACGAGTATTGAGCGCAAAGCCTCTTCTTGCTATATTGAAAATTTGGAGCCAAACACTCCACCCCTGTAAAAATTGTAGCTCTGAAAAGAGAACTGTCCAGATCTAGAACTTGCCGCCAAGTTGCGTGTGGCTGTGCAATCGCAGAAAGTCGGGCTTACAGACTTAAATAAAATAGAAACCTGCGGTGAAGGCTGGTCTTCTTCAAAATATAACACCCTGAAGACGTGGAGGTGTAGCGGAGGGTCGTTTAGGGGCTTTCATAGGGGAGGGGGTCGTTTTTGAAGGACTTGTGCCTGACATCTTGCTCAACCCTGCTTAATAACCTTCTGTTACGAAATTCGCAGGAGCCTCAGCCAAGCAATTGCGCCCAATTTCTGCATAGCACACGCCACTAGCATGTAGGTCCAATGTGCTCAAAAATGCCATCGAATCCACATGACCTTTGGACTACCAGTGTAGATCCTATTACGACTTTTTGCAAAGTTATGGATATGATTGACAAGTAAATGTGCGAGCTTCAGAGTTGGGCATAGAAGTTGAGCAAAAATTCTCTTTTTGTGCGAAATCGGCATCAAAAAAGAATAGTTGTTTAGAGGATCTATCTGTCAGGGTTTTACTGAAGATTCTGAGGAACTTTAGCTCAGAAATGTAGCTCACAGTGGTTTTTATGGCCCTTATGGCGACTATCATGCCAAAGCGAGTTCAGTAAAAGGTTTGAATTCGCATTTCTTTCTGTGTGAAAATTCTTTCCCAAAATTCCGATATGTGGTTTACAGTATATTCATGATACCAAGCACGCATGGTGGGTTTCAAAGCTATCATCATGAGAGCACAGGAAGGCGCGTAAATGATGGATATAAAGTGTTCTTACGACACCGAGAAAGAGCGGCAAATGCGCGTGAATAAGCAGTACGCCTGTCATGCCGGCATTTTGCGCACGCAAAGCATGCGCATTACAGGCGTAGCTATTTGTTCGCGCACAAATTTTACCGCATTTTCACGCCGTAAGCATTATATTCACCGACGAATCTTCTCAAAGGCAGTGTCTCGGCAGAATTTTGTTTTCCAGATTTTTACCTTTTCGGAGCCTTCTTGCCATAGGGAACCCATATTTGGGCTTGTCAGCGCATGAGGATGGCAAAAAGGAGCTTTCGAAGCTCTTCAGTCCGAATACAGTGAAGATACGCCGGAGAAACCGCCTCCGCCCACTTCTTCACTGAATGCAGATCTGGAAAGCTTCGGAAAAGTTCATTTTTGCCTTTGTAATGCGCTAAAAGCCCAGAAATGGATTCCAGCGAAAAGGCTCCGAAAAGGTGAAAAACTGGAAAACGAAATTCTGCCGAGACACTGCCTTTAACTCTAGGTAATACTGAAAAATACCCACCTATAGCTTCTACCAACCACAATGTCGAAGAATCAAGATGAGAGGGTTGCCAGTTCAAGCTATGCATCCTATTCCTGCCTTCAACAATTTCGACTATTCCAGCCTTAATGACTTCTTTTTTATTGTAAACAGGGTGCTCGTTTTGAAAACTGTTCATTTAAAAGATGTTTTATCGAAGTTTTTGCGCCAGAGTCTGGAAATCTAAGCGGATTCAAATGTTCTAAAGGTGGTAATTTTGTTGCTCTCCGGCACCCAAAACATATTTGTGCCTCAAAGACCAAAAACATATTTTTGGATGCACTGACTTTTATATACGTCGGAAAAAGTTTCTGTCAAATTATACTCGATTGTAGTAAAATCCCACAAAAAGTTTGTTTGATTATATTCGCTGTGAGTTGCATAACTAATCTTCCTATTCTTCGTGATTCAAGTGGTAATGCATGAAGAATGGATGAAGAGAAAGCAGAAGATTCAAATGAATGTTTCGTTGATGTATTTTTGAAAGAAGAATGCTGCATCCGATGTTGTGCAGTTTGTTAGAAATAGCTATTCGAGTTCTGACCATCCCCTTGTAAATAGTTTAAGGCCCGTAGTAAACTTCCAATCATCTCAGGTGACTTGAGATTAGTCATTCAGAAGAACTTTCTCGGGTGAACCTAATCCCGCCTACCCTCCCGTGCTTCAGGATAGTCAGTTCAACAGTCAGAAGACTGTCTGGTCAAGTGTCACAGTCAGTTCACCAGAATGCCACTTATCCGAGGTTGAATTTTAGGGTGACCCGAGAGAGATAGTGTGCATAAGAGGAGAATCAGACAAATTTCCCGTAAGTTGCTCGTGAGTAACTTACAGGAAAATTCAGTCGACGTATTCTTGCGCTGCAAAACTCCAAAACTGCACGATTTCGGTGGCCTAAATGGGAGGGGATCAATGAACAGCTGATTGCGGCAAGAAAAGCAAGAAAACAGGATTTCTTGGATTTCTTCTTTTTTTCCAGAGCTTGCTACGTTTTTCCTTCAACAAGGATTTTTTGATTTTTCATTTGCTCTATGTTCCAAAATTTTGGTTTTTCATGATATTCTCGCCAAAATATGGTAAATTTGTTTTATCCCTTTATTTGCTTGGCGATAGCCTTGATGGCGGTCGCCATCGATTTTTCTCAGCGGCCGCTATCAAAGATTGTCCGTGGTGGCGCAAAAGTCTGCCATTAGCCGTCTCCGAACCATGGTTTTGCGCGTTCTCAGACAATCGCTGGGGGCAGGCGGGCACCGGAAAAATAGATTGCTGATTTCTCGCATCCCGCTCGCGGATTTTTTGCAGAGCAATCGGGGCGTTTCGGAAGACCGCTTGCTGAGTCAGCGGATTTTTGAGAGACCGCCTGTTGAATTTTTTTCGCTCTTATCTTTTGCAGATATATTGCTGAATCTCTGAGGAATCGAGAACTCAGCAAGCGGTCTTCCGAAAAGTCCTGATTGCTTTACAAAAAATCCGCGAGCGGGGTGCGAGAGATCAGCAATCTATTTTTCCGGTGCCCGCCTGCCCCCGGCGATTGTCTGAGTTGGAACCTATTCACTTAGCCGCTCGACCAAACCTGCTCAAGGTGTTGAGTTTTTGGGAGCCCACAAGATCTCCATGTATAGTAAGCGATCAGCAACCAAACCAATAGCTCACCGGATGCCGGGCTGATTCGTTCTATGTTCAACGTAGGCCCGCCCCCAGCCGAGTTGGGCTGAATAGGGGTTTACTACGGGCCTAAGTCAAATTTGCCAAAATGTGATATTGAGTTGTTGTCAAGATTGAAAAGCAATTAATCCCATCAACTTATGGAAAAAATTCCCAGAAGAAATTTGTTGAGCTGGTTGAAAAAGCCTAATGCTGTAAATTGAAAGAATGAATAGCTTCGAAGCATATCCCTTGTATTAGGTTGCCGCGAAAGTAACATAGCTATTCAGTGTAACAGTGGCGTACTCAGGATTTCCGTTCCGGAGGGGGGGGGGGGAAGCATGACAAAAAGTTTTCTGATGAAGGTGTGTGGCGTCAGC